TCACACCTCCTCATTGGAGCATCTGCACAACTCCTCTTCACATTCACAAACCATCTTAGTCTTCCTTCCCTCAACTTGTCCACCACAGAGGTCACTCTCACTTTGTTCCAAATATCCTCATTCCTAATCCTATCACTCCTCGTATGCCAACACATTCACTCTACATCTTCATTTCCACCACTTGCATCTTTTAAACCTAAGAGTTCCTGATTGGCCAACACTCCACCCAATCAACAAAGCCGGTTATAATTAATGAAGAAGATGATTCTAAAGCAATTGCTAGTTCATTTTTTTTTTCCTTCCTTTTTGTGGCTTAATTCAAGGGCACCTGAGAAAGTCCACTGCAGACTTACCTTTTGCCAATATGAACCTATCTTGTTCCAAACCTGAGTAATGCCTCAAACACTAAAGAAGAATAGAGTAAACAGTATCTACAAAAAGGCTTCAGTTTGAAGCATGACTAAGCAATCTGACAAAATAATATCATAGATCAGCTAAAAGTTTGTTTACTACAGAAAAAAGAGAACATATTTTACTGTCAAACAACAAAATAAGAAAGCAAAGAAGATACTTTTAGAACTAAACAAAATGGTGAATACAGATTTTAGGCTCTCTTTTGACTAGCATTGTGTCATCACCTAATCGCAATCTTCCAAATATATGAAAATCAAAGCTTAAGTGAGAAGTGTGTTCAAGAGTCCTTTGAACTGCTTGAGTTCTCGTCTTGCCAAGACGCTTGCCATTGCTTGTCATAAAAAGTAGACTCATCCACCAACTTTTTGAGTGTTTCTATATCCTCATTCTTGCGTATCAGAAGCACACCGGCCACAGCTACAAACAATAGTGTTTTGCAAAAGAAGTTGCCCATTTGGTCAACAAGGCCTACACCAGTCAAGCTATCCACAAAATAGGCCATAAAGAAACCAACCATTGCAGCACGGCCTGCGTAAGATTTACAAGCTCTATTAGTTCTGTTCAGTAAAGATATATCTAGAGGTTCGTATTTGAGAACTGGAAAAGAACTGCTGGAAATAGGGTATGAGCAAACCATTGAGAAGTTCAGCTTCAGGGAGATGGAATCTCTTCATCCATGCCCACCAAGGAATAATGGAAGTGTCAAAAAGCACAGGTTCTTCATTACTTGATGACTCTGGGTTATCTTCCAACCATTTCCTTCTCCTAACCTCTGCAAATGAATAGTCATTCGATTGTTATTAAATCAAGCAATATCATATGAATAATGCCCCAAAAAGGATGCCTAGAGTAGGTCATACGGATGATGTTTTCCACTCGAGCTAGCACAATGTATGATTGGGAGACACCTCTATTGTAACTTGTAAGTACACGACGGGAAGAAGAAACGAAAAGTTAAAAGCTTTACGGTGTATTACAGCTTTTGAGTCGAATGTTAACTGCTGCCTGACCATAAGACCATAACACCTCAATTCAAAATGAAATGAAGGAAAAACAGTAATATGTAACCACATTGTTTTCTGGCTTAATTCATACACATATCTCTAATTTAAGACCACAAGATTCAAAAATCTTTCTTTATTTCTTAAACTCCATAGCCATTCAAACTTAGACACTTAAATTGGGACGGAGGGAGTAGAGAGTTTTATCTCTAGGTTCCTCCTAGTTTTTTTCAGTGTTCATCAGCTCCCCTGCTTATGGACTTAAGACAAAACTACAGCAACCCCTTCTTAGCAATGCATATTTTTCTTCTTTGTATAGTCCAAATATCAGTATTAGACAAACTCTTCATGCTATTCAATTTAGGGGAAAAGTTGTAGCTCATCTGGAACAGCATTTGTGTGTAGCCAAACTGAAGTGCAATTATTGTAATCATAAATCAAATAATTGAGCTAAAATAAAAGCATATCAAAAGAACACAAATCAAAATTAGTGGAAAAAAAGTTTAATCAATTACCAGCATCAATAACAGAATCCCAATGGGTCTCTCCATCTTTCTGAAATTGCTTCAAATCCCAAGTCCCACCAACCCATCTCGGATCTTGAAACATCCTCACAGTCTCCGGTGCCGGAGCTCCGGCGGAAGCCACCGGCGGTGACCCATTAGAGCCTACAGAAGCCTCATTTGATTCCTCAACTTCCACAGCACCATCCTGAGCTTTTTCTTCGGGTATTTCCTGCTCTACAGCAACAGAAGAAGAGGAAACTACACCACCTGACCCATTATCAGTGGCCTTCGGAGAAACCAAGAAAGAGAGGTGGGGTTTCTTGAGACTTAGAGAAGGATAAGGTTTGGGGGTTAAGTGGTGTTTTGAAGGTGAAAGAGTAGGGAAGTGAAGTGGAGGAGATGAGAATAAGGCCATTGACATTCTTGTGGCAGATTGAAGAAAGATAGGCAAAGAGAAGAGCTTTCAGGTCATGGCAAAGTGATCTTTCAACAATCCTTAGCCGCAGAAATGAGCAAATGATTTCTTGGCTGTTACTTACATATAAGAGTCTAAAATTAAACATTCCAGATCGACGTAGTAATACGTAAACATGTTCATTAACTTCGTCTCAACTTTTAAATACACACCAGTAGATATATGTATTTTGTGTGACAATTCGTATACTATGTTTATGTCATATAATTGTTCAATTTTATACCACTTTAAGTATTTACTTATATACGTTCAAAGTTGAATAACATAAATGACAGTTAATGCTAAATTAAAAGATATATTTATATATTATGTCTTTCAGATTAGTTATTCATTGTTATTGTTACCTTCTCCATTATGTTTAACATGGTTGCTTTACTATTGTATTTTTTTTTCTATTTTATTATGTGTTTCTTGAGGCGAAGTATCGAAAACAATCTCTCAACTTTTATAAGATAAAGAGTAAAGTTGTGTAGACACTACCTTTTTTAAATATCCCTTGTAGAATTACACTGAATATATTAGTGTTGTTGTAGATTAGTTATTTAATTTGTAGTTTTGTACTTTTTCTTAACCTATTTGCAACTCTACATTTGCCTTGAAGACCAACTTTGTGTTGCTAAATAAAACTTTAATTTTAAATTTTGTCACTTAAAATGTATAATTTTCTTATACTAATCAAGTTAAGTTAACCTACCACGTATAACTCTTAATATCAAATTTAATGCGAAAAAACTAAGAAATCTAAAATAATCAACATCAAATTATAAAAATATTGTTAAGATCGTTTACATCGTTAATGTATAACTTAAACTCAATCAAATTTTGAGTAATTTTATCAACCTATAACCACCATACTTGTGTCAATCCAGCATGCTTTACAAAGCAATTAGTCCATCAATCTCTAAGTAATGCCAATGTATATTATTTACTCTCATTAGATCTCTGATGATATTATATAATCATATATAAACCAGTTAGCAACCTAATTAACCTAGCTAAATTATTAGGCTTAAGGATGAATTTCATTTTTTTTCAAATTTGGACCACACAATGCTATTTGTTTCAACAAAAGTTAGGCAAAAAAAAGAGGTAAGGTTTGAGATATGGTAGGCCAGGACAGATTTAGCCCAACTTTACCCCATTGGCCCAACTAGATTACATGGCAGCCTAGTTTAATTGTGCTATTGCCAAGGCTTTTACTTCAAGCTCAATGCCATTTTGATTCATAGGGGTTATTAATTTTGTATTTGATTTTTTAAAATGTCATATTAAGATAAAATTAATTAAATTTGGTATGATCTGATATTTTTTTCCTTTTGTCATCGGTTTCAATTTACAAACACAATAAAAAGGTGTATAAATGACTTTTATAGGTTGTGGTGAATATAAGAGTCGTATTAAGTGAAATATCGATGCCTATGATTGGGGTGTTCACGGTTTGGATAAAAATCGATCCAAACCAAATCAAACCGATTAAATGAATCAATTTTATTTAGGGTTTGGTTTTAGATGTTTAAAAAATCGATAATATTTGGTTTGGTTATGATTTTGTTCGAAAAAAATCAATAACCAAATCAAACCGATAAATAATATACATAAATTTTATTATTATACATACATAATATATTATTTTTATAAACAACTTTAAAGATCTTATATATGTATTCATCAAAATTTATTTATAATTTACTTATGAAAGTCAAAATGTTCGAGGTGAGAACATTTATCTTATTGGTTTCATGTATATGAGTGTCTATGACAATTCTTTGTGGGACTGAAAATGTCAATGTCTCTTCCTTCAAGGCCAAAAATAGTGAATTCTGAAGCTTTATTCATAGTAAATTCAATGATCGAAAGTTTTGTAATGTCAGTCATTTTAACTATTTTTTCATTTTGAATGGATTATTGTCACTTTTTTCACGTTTTGAATCAATTATTTCTTTAATTTTATGTATATGGTTAATAACCGAATAATCGAAACCGATAACAACCAACCTATATTATATTAGGTTTGGTTTGGTTTTGATAATTTTAAAACCGATTAAATTGGTTTGATTTTGACCAATAACCGACCCGTGAATACCCCTACGGCGGACTATGACTAGAGGTGTTTAAGTAAGATCAAAAGTCAAATTAAATTAAAATCCTATTAAACCTATGAAAGAAATTAACTTATGGTTTGAATAATATTTATCATTTTCTTAATAAATGAATAATATTTTGAGTCAAATGATTGTCCATATATAAAGATTGGAAATATAAATAGTGTTGTAGTTCAACCCTCAAGCGTCTAAAACATGATTTATAGATTGCCTAGACTATAAACACAAAATTATTCGTGTGATTTACAAAATACCTTGAAAATAATGATATTAAACTTTTGACTTCATTTTTTCTCATAAGTAAAATTTTAAGTTTATCAGTTTTATTTCATAAGCAATATTTTTAAATTGTTTATATTAAAATCTCGCCAATGAAATAAACGAAGGTTAAAAGTTCAAGAACATCTATTTGGGTCATTGAGTGTAATAATTGGATCGGCCCATCATATGCATGATCATGGGCTTTAAAAACGAGTCGGGTTAACCCGAGTCTTCATCAATTCAATCCCCACTCCCTAATCCAATCCTTCACTCTTCACTCTCTTTGAGTTTCAAACACAATGGAAGCTGTCACTATTGCTTCCCATTTCTCACCGGCTACCGGAATCCGGCTATCATCTCCGGCGTGTTGCCGTGCCTCAGCTCCCAAACGGACTCTCAGATTTTCTCCTCCTACGAAATCTTCTCTATCGACAAGCTTTATCTCCCCCTTCGTCGGCGGCAGTCTATTCTCGGACTTATCGGGTCAGAGAATTCGACCCGATTCTCTTTACCCTTCTTCCTCAACTGGCTTTATCCCCAAACGTGCCGTTGTCACTATGGTAACGACTTATTTTGACTTCTAATTTTGTTCTGTTGTTTCTACTTTAAACTCAAATTAGTGGTTGAGGCATAGATAAGTATGTTTTTTAGATGCTTAAAGATGATAACTTTAGCATGATATGTTGCTTATGGGAAAGCTCTGCTGTGATGATAGGTTTATGGGTATCACACATTAGTTGATGCTACATAGCAAGGAGGGTTTGAATAATGGTATGCCTATCATAATGCAGGGATTACACTATGTAATTATGTGTTAATAGAGAAATAAAAGATAAGACAGACTTAGGAGATCATTTTTCAAAACTAGTTCAATATGTAGTGTGGACATTCGGGTGAAATTGAGGATTTTGTAGGTGGTCCAAGCTACCTAAGTCATGCTGGGTAGAGTTACTTGGTACTAATGTAGTGGTGCTGGTGGGAGGTAGCATGGACTCTGTGGAATAGTCGAGTACTAATGTAGTGGTGCTGGTGGGAGGTAGTATGGACCCTGTGGAATAGTCGAGGTGAGCACTAGCTGATTGGGCACCAGTGTTATAGGAAAATTAGAACAATTTAGAAACTTATAATTTATCTGCCTCAGTTGTTGGATATGATTGCCTCTGCAAGAGAATGTTGGCAGGCACTTAGCTGTTTGTGTCTCAAACCAAAAGGAAAATGCTTGGTTGGTTTTGTAGAAACTGTTGACTCAAAACTATAAAAATTCATGTGATTAGGTTTCTGTGTCATCTTTATCATAGTAACCGGAGAAGGTTTTGTACTTTTGTAAAGTGGATTGTGATAATCTGTGTAGAAATATCAAAAGAGGCCAACCATTTTAAGACATCCTAAAAGTAAACTAAACATTGTAAGAAAATGGTAACTGGGCTAACTTCACAATACATATACAAGTTGAGATATTTTTGCATATGTCAAAGTATCTAAAACATGAACTAGGAAACTGAAATCGTCATACTGGATGTCTAGAGCTACGGCTTTGTTTTTTCCTTCTTTTTTTGGAAATACATAGGATGGTTTTGTTTGAATAATTGAATGTTGATGTTAAGCCGCCAAATGAATCTGTAAACACCCTAGAATGTGTCAAAGAGCTTTATGGGTTATGGAGAGGGAGTTTAGTTGCATAAATTAAATCAATAGTCTATATATAGAAGGAAGAAGTTAATAGTCAGTTCTTTCTTTTGAGAGATTTGGACTCTGGATATCATGGATGAGTGGTTAAGCTCCGAAGGTATATTATGCTATTGTCCATATGGATTCAATCATGTGGTGCTCTTTTGATGAAGAATGGATAATCAGAAGTCATTCTAAATCAGGTTTAGAAGATAATAGTAGGTGATGGGAGTTCCCATTATCCCGGGACGTAAACATTTAGAAAACATCCAATTGTTTGTGTGACAGCTCTTCCAACTGGTAACTGTTATTGCCAAACTTAACTCCAAACTTTGCAATTATGGTTCAGCAGCTTTATATAACTTTAGGCAGTTCAAAGATTAAAATGGTCAGGAAACATGGACCAAATGGTCATGCCAGGAAGTATCAAGCTTGCTCTGCTGTTCCTAATTGCATATTTTGGAATGCTAGGAATGAGACAATAATAGGTGCTTTAGTGATAGGGAGGGACAACATTTCAATTGTAAAGATCAGATGTTTAAAAGTCTCTCTCTATATGTGGAGTAAGAAGAGTAGTGTTTCTGATTGGACTCACTGTTACATTTTATGCAGTCCTTGAATCTACAGAAGGATGCTCTATTTGTAGTTGTAAATTTGCAGTACCTTCTTGGTTCTTTTTAATAAAATTCTTACATTTTCATCCATAAAAAATACAAAAAATATTAACATAGTCAGACTCAGGCCTAGTCCATTTGATCATGAAGAGTTTTATTTTGGGCTGCTTCAGAGTTTTAAATAGCTGTAAGGCCTGAATAAAAGACATAATTGATGAGTTTGATGATAGAAGACGTACAGGAGAAAAACAAATAGGACTAGGATAAAGTAGAACAAAACTTGGAACAGTTTTATGTGACTGCCATTGCTTATTTGGGAACTCTCTTCAAACTGGTATGATGTCTTGGAAAAATGATCTGCAGTTCATCGGGTAATATGTTTCTTACTGCTGTAAATTTGTTAGACGGGAAAGTCTGATGACATAGGAGAAAAAGGCTATTTTCATAAACTGCTGATGATAGTCTCTATTAACATAAAGATTTTGGGTCATTAGAATAGGAAGTAGTGGAGGCAGCGAGCTTGGAGGAAGTATTCTTTCAAGTGGTTATCAGTTGATACATTATTATCACAAACTTTTGTATGTATGCCTACAGATCAAAAAGGAAAAAAGAACACTTCTGTATATTCTTTTTTATCCTCATTAATGTGATGGAATTTGAATGGAAAACAGTATCAGTATCTTCTACTCTGACTTTAATGCTCTAACCATGCCCACATTATTGGTGCCAGGTTATTCCTTTCTCAGGGGACCCATCGCAGGAACATCCTCCAGATTTAGCATCTTACTTGTTTAAGAATCGAATCGTTTACTTGGGCATGTCTCTAGTTCCATCAGTGACGGAATTGATTCTAGCTGAATTTCTTTATCTTCAGTATGAGGACGAGGATAAGCCAATCTATCTTTATATAAATTCTACTGGGACTACCAAGGTTAAAAATGGTTGCTTTCTTTCTATTTGTCTTGTATTTTTTTATCATCTCAAGTCCTTGATTTCCTGGTCAAATGTTCAGCTGGTTGTATTGGTGTTTTTCTTCACTAATTTTCTAATCACTACTTTTTCTAATGAGATAGCTTTATAAAAAAGGTTGAAGTTCGGTCTAAATGTAGCAAATGAAGAGTATTTTTCAATTTTCATTTCATTTAATAGGTGCTACTCTGAGGTTCTTCTGTAGGTATTGCTTGCTAGAGGATAAACTCGAATGGGTTAAAATTTATTGGTACAGGCACTGTGCGTCCATGTTGCTCGGACTCTTCATAAATGTCAGCGGATGCGTGTCGGAATCTCCAAAAGTAGTATATTTTTGGAGAATTCGTGCGGCTGTGGCATCGAAAGTGATGAGTCCACACAACTTAGCTGTATGTGATCTATGTTATGATCATGTTTAAGAAACAACTAAAACCCCTTTGTTTTACCAACCTAACCCTTATATTCTTCCAACTTGAAGTAAGTTGAGTATGATATTGACAATTCATTCGAAAGCCAATCTTGATGCATTTCTAGTTTAAGAAATGCACTATACGGTCTCCTCTGTTTCTCTGGAAGCACATTTTGAGATCCTTAACATTTTAGCTGTTGTAAGCTCAGTTTGAGTTTCTACTAGGCTTAGTTCGAACCTTGTTTACTTTTGATTACATATAATGCAGACATGTTTTTATCATACTTCTATATAATTTTCTATTTTACAGGGTGGTGAAAAGTTGGGTTATGAGACAGAGGCGTTTGCTGTATATGACGTTATGAGGTTACATATCGTTTATCTATCCATTTTGCTCATTTAAGTAATATTTGAAGATGCCTGTTTAGTGTTGTTTTTTGTTTTTCTTTTACTAATTTGTTTTTCTGGTTGTGATTCTATGATAAAAGACCTGAATGATAAGATTTTTCTATAGATAGAATTTTGGTTCTTCAACAAGATAGATTCAGAATAGATCCTTGAAGTGTGGTTGTTATTTTGGAATCTTCAGTCATTCCTAATATATCTTTACCAGAAAAAAAAGATGTAAAAGTGTTTCGACCTTTGTAAGCCTCTCTCAAGTTATTAGTTAATGTGACGAAGGTGCACCGGAAATGAGAAAGCTGTGATAGGTTGATCTGCAGAAAAGTATGGTTCTGTTTGTTAGTTCAGAAGGATCTTCACTCAGAAGTATATTGGGACAGAGGAACGGAGCCATAGTGCTAGCTTTCATTCCATATTCTAGCTGTTCTAATAAATTACATGACAAGACGCAACTAGAGAACGCAATGTTAAGTTATTTTGGCAGCTGAATTTGTAGGATTAGAAACCAGATAATTTATACAAGTAAATAGGAGTGCAACATAATTTCGCTCATCAAAATTTGGATATTCAGAACAAGAGTGTGGATGGCTTAAACCCAAGTGTTGTAGTATATTAGCACTGTGTTGCAATACAAATGTAGGTCTCCAGTTGATATGAGCAATTGCCTGCCTGTGTTTCCTATTTTGCTGCTTTCACAATTCACTAGACGTTTGATTGTTCCTTGCTTGCACCAAAATGTAACCTTAGACTCTTCTATTCGTACTAAACCATTTGTTATCTGAACTTATAATTTGTATTAGCCATTATTGAAATCCTTTTGTTCAGCTAAGGTTTGTATTAAGGATCTAAAATGAATGAATAAAATTGTCCATTCTGTAACAGTTAAGTTTTTTAGATAAGGTGGTTCACACAGTTCAACATAGTATTAAAACAAGCAATGGTCCTTGGTTTGAGTCTCCCCATCTATCAAAAAAATATTTTCACTTGCTTAACCTATGAAAAAGAACCATGCTGTGTGTGAGAGGGCATGCCAGACCTAAAATGTATAAAGTGTCCAATCTCTAACATACTAAGCTTATAGATGCAGCAGTGCCGACAATTAAACATTTTGTATAGATGTTTCTCAGCAGTTTAATAAGAATATTGTTTTTCTCGATCAAGTAATAATTTTCATATATTTAATACTAAGTAATAATGTGTAAAAACTAAAAAAGGCTTTTAAATTACGACAATGGTTGACATAAAGACTTATGTAGATTATTTATAGGTGTTCTCAGTATCAATACTTTCTGAAATTTCTGCTCTCATGCCCTTGTTTCTGCTACACTTGAGAAACTTAATGATATAATTGTTCTTCTGGGACTCCTTTGTTTCTTTTAGTAATCTGCAACAGACACCTTTACTTTTTGCTGCAGTTATGTCAAGCCACCTATATTTACTCTCTGTGTTGGGAATGCATGGGGAGAAGCTGCCTTGCTTTTAGCAGCTGGTGCAAAAGGAAATCGTGCTGCACTGCCTTCATCTACAATTATGATTAAGCAGGTCATTTGGAGGCCTTTTGTGTTTCTGTCTTCCTTTCTCCCTGTTTACTCTCATTTCTTGTTTATATCATCTAAAATATTCTCTGTAACCTGGGTCGAGCTCGTCAAACTAGGCTTGCCTAGTGCGCGTTACCTCTCTTGTGTGGTTTGTAAGCTATTGCATAGGAGTGGGGGTTTTACCCTGTGCGCACCCAAAGGGCAGCTGCTGTGGGTTTCCCTTGTCATAAAAAAATATTCTTTGTAACCTGTCCCTGAGTTCCTCTAAAATTTCCAATCTTGCAAACACATAACCATGATATTAAAGATAGAATTGCTAATGCATATATATCTTTGCAGCCAATTGCTCAGTTTCAGGGTCAAGCAACAGATGTTGAGCTCATGCGGAAAGAAGTAAATAATGTCAAAGCGGAATTGGTAATCCTTAAAATTTCTATTAAGCTTAGTGCTTGCTTACCATGACAAAAGTTCAAGGGACAACTTTGCTTTTAAAGATGTTCATTTTCTGCTTTGCGATACACATTTCTGAAGGATCAAAGATGAGCACTATATTAATTAGCCTGATTTTATAACTTCACACATTTATTTTTAAGGTGAAATTGTATTCAAAGAATACTGGAAAATCACCTGAGGAGATTGAAGAAGACATAAGACGTCCAAAATACTTTAGTCCTAGTGAAGCAGTAGAATATGGAATTATTGATAAGGTATCTCTATGAAGTAACTAAAAACTTTTCAACTTGCTTCCTGATATTAAAGGACCTGCAGCTCACATTGTAACTTAAATGTCTAAAGGTTCTATACAATGAGAGGGGAAATAAAGATAGAGGAATTGTATCTGATCTGAAGAAGGCCCAACTTATCTGAAAGGAGTCAAAAGTCTCATCAGCCATGAAACCACAGGGATTGAGGTAAGATTCACTTAGCTAATATTAGTTTTGCTTTGCAAAGTAACCAATCTCAAACATAAGAATTCATTTCTAGTCCCAGGGTGGCGTTTGGCATCTACCTTTCACCGGCAATTCATCAACAAGGCTATTTCTCATCATGAACGCTCCCTTTAATCTACAGATTGCCTCAAACTTTATTAGAGGCCACCAGTTGGGACAGCTATTCTACTTGTTTTATACGATCCTAGTCACTTGGATTCTGCATTCTGTGTTGGCTCAACGGAGTAGCTTATAGAACACGTGTAAAGTTTGCAACTATTTTAGAATGTTTAGTTCTTAAGATGTACCAACATGTCATTAAAATATTCTAACTGCAAGTCTTTACACCAATTTGTTAAGTGGAGATCTCAGATATGGTGAAAACAATTAGACCCAATATGTGTTTATTGAATGATAAAGCATCACAACTACTTAGTTCATCTTTCTTTTGTAACAATGAGTAGCAATAGTTTTGTTAGTGAAGAAACTGTGACCTTCACTCTGGACCTTTCCATCACTCGACAAAGTTCACATCCTCAATCAGACAGATGTTCGCATCTGCAAAAATCTTCATTCCTCTCCACCACTTCACTTGAGTGCTGATGGTTCCCATATTTATTTAACTGAATGATACACATTAGCTTGAGAAACTACATATTCTAGAACTGAAATTGATAGTTCTTTTCGTGGGCGCCCCACCATTTCAATAATTGTCTCTCTTCTGGTGCAGAACTTGGGAAGTGAGACATCTGGAAAGAGGGGAGTTGCTAGTTTAACTTGGTGGGGGATTTTATGCTTTACAACTTGCAACAACAACTTTTGATTGTTCCCTTTTTGTTGGTTGATAGTAGCTTCATAATTACAACTTTTCTCTCTTGACTTATTCCTGTTTAAGCTTCTAAAGTCATTACAGCTGACCCTCTCCATTTTTATCCTAAAAAGACAAGTGTATGAAGCAGATATTAAGTGATGACAGGTTGAATTTGAATTTTAACAACTGATGTCTCTAGCTCTACAAGTGTGTAGATTATTTTTCATAGTGGAATGGAGCCATTAATGTAAAGTGCAATTTTGCTCACCAGTTCAAGTCCATTAAGGTCACTGTCCAGCATTCTGGTATTCTATTTGTTTTACTCTTGGTATTTGCTATCAGCTTCTTGATCTATTTTTCTGTTTCATTTTTTCATATATGGTGCGAAAATACAGCGATTTCAGTTGCGAGCTTATTATGTTAACTGTTATTTAATCCGAGGGTCTATCTGAAGCAAGTTTCTATTATCTCTACGAGGTAAGGGTAAGGGATTACACTGGGTATGTTGTTGTGACTTTTTGCGTCTTTGAGAGGGTGGGTAAAGTGATGGTTAACGTTCCTTTTACGATCATATGGGCAATGTAGGTGCTTGGCAATATATTGCAGACACCATTAACAAACTTAATAAGATTATCATTGAATGGCTTTGTTCAATTTTGTGATGGTAGGAAATTTGTTTGTTAGCTTAATTAACCTTTGTTATTTATTTGGTTTCAATACAACCACATTCCTTAAAGAGTTTTTTTTTTCTTTTGACTATTTCACCCCTATTATGCCTTAAAATATCTTTCTTTTTTTCCCATTAAATGTCTACTTTATTTATGTGTCATCTTTTTATAATTGAGGTGTCTATAGTCTTCAAGAACAATTACTACAAGGAGTAAAATGAAAAAAAAAAAGTTAACTCTTTTAAGGACAAATATTTTGAAATAACTAATTTTAGAAATCATGACAGATAATTTGAAATGGAAAAATACCTATGGCGAGGCATTAATTATCATTTAGACAATATGTGGCACAAAGTATTTTTATGTAATGTAATATAGGATCTTAAATTTAGTGATGCCACAATGAAATAATTTCTAGAAGCCAAAACAAGACTTTTATAGCATTACTAGTATAAGTTGAGTGACCATTCAAACGTTTTAACTCAATTATGTGCTTTAGTATATCATCATAATTTATACATGGTAATCTCCAATTTCAAATATCATTGTACAATTGACAATACATTGATTAGATTAAACACCAATCAAATAATAAAGCATTTGAAAACTCCAAGTGGATAACAAATATTGGAATTCACCTACCAATTAATCTTGATAGTACATGTATACAATTAGGGCTCTTTCAAAAAGTTTTTTTATTTTAACAAAACAAATAAGGTGCTTGAGTGCTTTTCCCCCAGATTTTGAGTCTGGTTTCATAATTTGTTATCAGATTCTACGTATAGTCACTGGATATGACTTAGAGCATTTACTTTATTTGATAACTTCTTAGTGCGTTTGAACCAAACATAGGGATATTCCAAGTTATCTTATTAACCCAATTGCTTTTATTGGTTAGTATTTCAATCATATATTCTGACCTGGCAACTTTATCCAATCTTGCATTAGTAAACAAAATCTTGAGGGGTCCATGAAGGGTGTGTTCGCAACGAAAGAAAATGTTTTCCATGAAAAATAACTTTGAGAAAATAAGTCGGTTTAGTACTACTTTTTTGGTAGTAAGTATTTATATATACTTTAGGCGAATACTACGGGAGATGAGAGTGGGGGTAGAGATGTGGGATGGGGGGGGGGGGAGGATGGCTAGGGGGG